AACACCAGGTGCACGTACAACACCATGTGCACGTACAACACCAGGTGCACGTACAACACCAGGTGCACGTACAACACCAGGTGCACGTACAACACCAGGTGCACGTACACCAGGTTCACGTACAACACCATGTGCACGTACAACACCAGGTGCACGTACAACACCATGTGCACGTACAACACCAGGTGCACGTACACCAGGTGCACGTACAACACCAGGTGCACGTACAACACCAGGTGCACGTACAACACCAGTTGCACGTACAACAGCAGGTGCATGTACAACACCATGTGCACGTACAACACCAGGTGCACGTACACCAGGTGCACGTACAACACCAGGTGCACGTACAACACCAGTTGCACGTACAACACCAGGTGCATGTACAACACCATGTGCACGTACAACACCAGGTGCACGTACACCAGGTGCACGTACAACACCAGTTGCACGTACAACACCAGGTGCACGTACAACACCATGTGCACGTACAACACCAGGTGCACGTACAACACCAGGTGCACGTACAACACCAGGTGCACTTACACTAGGTGCACGTACAACACCAGGTGCACGTACAACACCATGTGCACGTACAACACCATGTGCACGTACAACACCAGGTGCACGTACACCAGGTGCACGTACAACACCAGGTACACGTACAACACCAGTTGCACGTACAACACCAGGTGCATGTACAACACCATGTGCACGTACAACACCAGGTGCACGTACACCAGGTGCACGTACAACACCAGTTGCACGTACAACACCAGGTGCACGTACAACACCATGTGCACGTACAACACCAGGTGCACGTACAACACCAGGTGCACGTACAACACCAGGTGCACTTACACTAGGTGCACGTACAACACCAGGTGCACGTACAACACCATGTGCACGTACAACACCATGTGCACGTACAACACCAGGTGCACGTACAACACCAGGTGCACGTATACCACCAGGTGCACGTACAACAGCAGGTGCACGTACAACACCAGGTGCACGTACAACACCAGGTGCACGTACAACACCAGGTGCACGTACACCACCAGGTGCACGTACAACACCAGGTGCACGTACACCAGGTGCACCTACAACACCAGGTGCACGTACAACACCAGGTGCACGTACAACACCAGGTGCACGTACAACACCAGGTGCACGTACAACACCAGGTGCACGTACAACACCAGGTGCTTGAAGTGTATTCTTCGCAGTGAGTTGTGTACATAACTGTTATTTCTTCATGCTTTCACAAGGTGTTGTGTTTATGATGTTTCACAAGATGCCGTGTTTGTTTCACAACGTGTCGTGCTTGTTTCACAATATGCCGTGCTTGTTTCACAAGATGCTGTGCTTGTTTCACAATATGCCGTGCTTGTTTCACAACGTGTCGTGCTTGTTTCACAAGATGCCGTGCTTGTTTCACAACGTGTCGTGCTTGTTTCACAACGTGTCGTGCTTGTTTCACAATATGTCGTGCTTGTTTCACAATATGTCGTGCTTGTTTCACAATATGTCGTGCTTGTTTCACAATATGCCGTGCTTGTTTCACAACGTGTCGTGCTTGTTTCACAACGTGTCGTGCTTGTTTCACAACGTGTCGTGCTTGTTTCACAATATGCCGTGCTTGTTTCACAACGTGTCGTGCTTGTTTCACAATATGCCGTGCTTGTTTCACAACGTGTCGTGCTTGTTTCACAAGATGCCGTGCTTGTTTCACAACGTGCCGTGCTTGTTTCACAATATGCCGTGCTTGTTTCACAACGTGCCGTGCTTGTTTCACAAGATGCCGTGCTTGTTTCACAAGATGCCGTGCTTGTTTCACAAGATGCCGTGCTTGTTTCACAAGATGCCGTGCTTGTTTCACAAGATGCCGTGCTTGTTTCACAACGTGCCGTGCTTGTTTCACAATATGCCGTGCTTGTTTCACAACGTGCCGTGCTTGTTTCACAAGATTGCCGTGCTTTTTCACAAGATGCCGTGCTTGTTTCACAAGATGCCGTGCTTGTTTCACAAGATGCCGTGCTTGTTTCACAAGATGCCGTGCTTGTTTCACAACGTGCCGTGCTTGTTTCACAATATGCCGTGCTTGTTTCACAACGTGCCGTGCTTGTTTCACAAGATGCCGTGCTTGTTTCACAAGATGCCGTGCTTGTTTCACAAGATGCCGTGCTTGTTTCACAAGATGCCGTGCTTGTTTCACAAGATGCCGTGCTTGTTTCACAAGATGCCGTGCTTGTTTCACAAGATGCCGTGCTTGTTTCACAAGATGCCGTGCTTGTTTCACAAGATGCCGTGCTTGTTTCACAACGTGCCGTGCTTGTTTCACAAGATGCCGTGCTTGTTTCACAACGTGCCGTGCTTGTTTCACAAGATGCCGTGCTTGTTTCACAAGATGCCGTGCTTGTTTCACAAGATGCCGTGCTTGTTTCACAACGTGCCGTGTTTATGTTCATGAAGATTAAGCAGCCTTCCAAAAACTCGTAAAAAATTATATAGTCCTCCAGTTCTGTGCAAATCAAGCAAGAACGACAGTGACACAGAGAACCTGGGCAAGCAAGAACGACAGTGACACAGAGAACCTGGGCAAGCAAGAACGACAGTGACACAGAGAACCTGGGCAAGCAAGAACGACAGTGACACAGAGAACCTGGGCAAGCAAGAACGACAGTGACACAGAGAACCTGGGCAAGCAAGAACGACAGTGACACAGAGAACCTGGGCAAGCAAGAACGACAGTGACACAGAGAACCTGGGCAAGCAAGAACGACAGTGACACAGAGAACCTGGGGCAAGCAAGAACGACAGTAACACAGAGAACCTGGGCAAGCAAGAACGACAGTGACACAGAGAACCTGGGCAAGCAAGAACGACAGTGACACAGAGAACCTGGGCAAGCAAGAACGACAGTGGACACAGAGAACCTGGGCAAGCAAGAACGACAGTGACACAGAGAACCTGGGCAAGCAAGGAACGACAGTGACACAGAGAACCTGGGCAAGCAAGAACGACAGTAACACAGAGAACCTTGGCAAGCAAAGAACGACGAGTGACACAGAGAACCGGGGGCAAGGCAAGAACGACAGTGACACAGAGAACCTGGGCAAGCAAGAACGACAGTGACACAGGAACCTGGGCAAGCAAGAAGCGACAGTGACACAGAGAACTGGGCAAGCAAGAACGACAGTGACACAGAGAACCTGGGCAAGCAAGAACGACAGTGATCACAGAGAACCTGGGCAAGCAAGGAACGACAGTAACACAGAGAACCTGGGCAAGCAAGAACGACAGTGACACAGAGAAAACCCGGGCAAGCAAGAACGACAGTGACACAGAGAACCTGGGCAAGCAAGAACGACAGTGACACAGAGAACCTGGGCAAGCAAGAACGACAGTGACACAGAGAACCTGGGCAAGCAAGAACGACAGTGACACAGAGAACCTGGGCAAGCAAGAACGACAGTAACACAGAGAACCTGGGCAAGCAAGAACGACAGTGACACAGAGAACCTGGGCAAGCAAGAACGACAGTGACACAGAGAACCTGGGCAAGCAAGAAAGACAGTAACACAGAGAACCTGGGGGAAGCAAGAACGACAGTGAACAGCAACCTGGGCAAGCAAAAACGACAGTGACACAGAGAACCTGGGCAAGCAAGAACGACAGTGACACAGAGAACCTGGGCAAGCAAGCACTGGATGTTATGGTTGATGGGGAAGAATACATGGGCTCTGACGGCCTTGTGTTATGACATTTTCGTTAAGAAAGTTGTCTCTGAAAAATCGTCTGTTATGCCCGAGCATGTTCCCAAATCTGTGTCTTGCAGCAGATTCCACTGACTCGAGGTGTACTTTCAGACCATGACATTGATGGGAATGGAGTGAAGCTGATTCTTTGAACTGGGGTTATAGACTTGAAGACAATCAACTTGCACCCTTAGCTACATTTGCGAAACTGGTTGCAGAACTTCTGTTGCAGTAGTAGAAGATATAAGCTTCCATGAACTACTACATGTGCATCATGCTGAGTTACGTCTTGTGAAAATCCGCACAACCAATTGTCAAAGAAACTGGAGAACATTGTTGAGAACAAAACTGAGACAGTGAAAGTGACATCTAAGTTGTTTTTTTATTAATGCATTTGGTATAATTTAAAAAAAAATATTATGATTTTGATTTAGTAATATTTTTCACAGAATTCTTCAGAACACTCTTTGAAATATATTATTCTGAAACATGTCAGTAAAGTTACTCTCAAAAAAAAGACATTTTTGGCAATCTTTGTCCCTAAAAGTGCTTTTTAGGTGAATAATATGAGAGTTATTGGTACGGGCGCCTTTATTCATGATTATTGACCGCAGTCTTTGATTTAAGGTTCTGACAAGTTTGATTGAAATTGTGATGGCATCAACAAATTCCTTGAAACAAAATTATTGTTCTTCACCTAATTATAAGGAAGTTACAGTCACCTTCCTGAGTTGAAGGATAAGCGGCGGCCATCTTGGAAGTGACAGTTTTAACCTCCCTTTGGCGGCCAGATTTAGCAGAATTGTTTTCTGTCTTTCACTACATTTAGTAAGACCAAAAGTAACTAACAGATCATTTGTTAGAAGCGTTTTGAGACTGCTGGTACATTGATCTAACTGTAAATGCCGTAAACTCTTGCATCACAGTGTTTACTGACAACGACCTCAGTGTGAGACACACTACTTATCTTAGTGTCAACATGTTACTTCCTTCCTAACAAACAATGTACTTAAAAAAATATATAAGAGAAACAAATTTTTTTATGAGAACGTAAAATGCAGAATACGTGTGTAGCACAGTGAACAGTGATGTTGTCAGTGTCCAGCGCCTGGACACGGACAACATTACTTACAGAATCACAATGAAACTCACAGTAAAATAAACAAAACTATTGCTGACATATTTACAAACAGAAAGCAACTTAGAACAATAGAGAGAGAGATCTAGAGTGTATCTCACCTGAGAGAGCTGTTAGCAGCGGCTCCGTCGCTGAAGTCAAGCTGGATGCTGTTGAAGATGTGTGAGGTAATAGTAAGGTCATCAATACCCCAGATATCTCGACCAGCACCTGAGTGATGCTCCTGCCACACCTGGAACCTGCACCCAGGACCCCGTGCTCCACCTGGTAGCTCCAGTGAGATGTGACTGTGAACACAGTATCAACACAGTGTTACTACTACATAATCAACACATATTGGCAAATACGATGCTAGAGGTGCAAAAATAACCCAAGCTTAGAAGACAGAAACTTATGCCGATGCTTCGAACGGACATGGACCATTAACCAATCACACACCGTCCTAAGTTTCGGTCATCTTAGTGCAGCTTATTAGCATATTGTTACAGTCACAGTACTGTGCCTTTATATTCTCTTCTTCATACTAAGAGGTGCATGTTGAAGCATGAGCCAGCACCAGCCGCCCCAGACCCTGGTACATGGTGAAGCATGAGGCAGCACCAGCCGCCCCAGACCCTGGTACATGGTGAGGCATGAGGCAGCACCAGCCGCCCCAGACCCTGGTACATGGTGAGGCATGAGGCAGCACCAGCCGCCCCAGACCCTGGTACATGGTGAGGCATGAGGCAGCACCAGCCGCCCCAGACCCTGGTACATGG